ACTTTTGGGGTGCTGGGACCCCAAGATCGTGGTACCGGGCCCTGCTGAATGAATTCAACTCAAATCTTCTTCAGCCAGAGGAAAAGTTTATTAGTGATAAATCACATTGACCAGGTGACACCCGTAAAGACGAGCGGGCATGAGAGGTTCTCAGCCTTGTGGGCCTGAGATTCTCAGCATCTGAATGAGGGCCAAGGTGGATCTTAAGTACTAAAGTAACTTTGGGTAGTCAGAGAAGGGGGTTGGGAAAAGGGTCTAGGTAACAATTCTAATTGGGGAGGTCTGAGAGATTGCATAGACATGGGAATAGCTAATGGAGGGAACAGGAAGGCAGAAGCTTGAAAGGCATCTGCACAAAACCAAGGTGGGGCCAGGACTTTCAAAAGGAGATAAGGAAGGCCTTTCTGGAGCCTATAGACAAAAGGGAGCCAGATCTGAATAAGACTGAAAGGTGAGGCTAAGGCTTTCTAGGGAGATGAGGGTATGGGGCCTGTGAGTCAGATTCCCTTTGGGGCAAAGGGTGAAGATCTTGGCTTGGGCCCCACCCCCATCAGTAACCTTACCTTCACCCTCGATTTTTTGCCCAGGGCTCAGCGAGAGAGATGGAGAGAGCAGGAGTGCTACCAAACCCAATGTTCCCCTGTCATTCCCAGTCTTGAGAAGACTGGAGGATAGGGTACTGTGGGGTTACTCCACCACTTTTCCAACCTTGGGGACAACTCTTTCTCCAATGTCCCTCCTGGTCACATCTTGGGCCCGGTTCCAGAGGCATTGGTAGAGTAGACTCTACTCCTTGGACCAGTGACCTCCCCTGGTGGCATCGAAAGCAGATTTTCCCACTGCAGGAGTTGCTAGGAACACCCTTGGGTCTTTTCCTGACCAGGGCAGCGCAAGAACTGAGCATGTTCTCTATCTCTAGCTCTTTCCCTTCTTTTTCCTTTCCTCTACTGCTGCTAAGTCTCTGTTGTTAAAAACTCCAGAAGCAATCTCCAGTAATTGGGTCTGAAGTGTTGGGGGTCCCATTGCCAATTTCTGCACTTTCCTCCTTTCATCTGGGGTAGATTGATTAATGAAATACATGCTAAGGATTGTTGCCCCCCTTCTATAGAGTAGGGATCTAAATTCATATACTTTTTAGTAGTTTCTACTAGCCTGTCTTGGAAAAGGGCAGGGTTTTCCTTTTCTCCCTGAGTAATTTCCTTAATTTTTTGAAAGTTTACTTGCTTTTGAAATGCAGTTCTCAGGCCTTCCAGTAGGCAAGTTACCATATAGTCTCTCTCCCCTATCTTCATTCTTCTGATAATCCCATCCTGGGGTCAGTAGTGGCAACAGCAGCTGTTCCTGGGGGGTATTTTGTGGGGTCGTTGCTAGCCAAACAATCCCCAAATTTTGGGGCTTGTTCCCAGATTCTCCTCTTCTCAGTGGTACAACAGGTGGAGAAGAGGATATGCAAATCACCCCAAGAAAGCTCTAATTGTAGGGACACATCCCTAAAGCCCTCAGTAAATTAATTGGGATCTTCTGAGTATCACCCCAGTTTCTCTTTGACCTGAATGAGGTCTGAAATGGAGAACACAACATGCACCCTTATTGTCCCATTAGGTGAGACAGAAAGTGAGACAGAAATTGAAGAGGATTGACCCTTTGCAGGCATGGGAGCCGGAAGTCCCTCCCTCCTTAAAGGAGGATTTGGGAATAAACCTCAGCAAACAAACAAAAAACCCCCCAAAAGCCCAAAGAAGTACCTTAAGTTTTCCCAGGTCCCTAGCACTGAGAGACTCAAGAGGGTTGGGCCTATGCTTCCCTTAGGGGAAAAATGCCTGATGGAACAGTGGGAATTGGGGCTAGAGAGGAAGGGAGATAGGATGTCCCACTTCTTATAAGTGAGGGACTGGGGAATGCTGGCTGAATTGGACTAGACTGCAAAGCCAGGGGATCCTACTAGCAAGGGGAGAAATCAGCTGACACTGGAGGAGGGAGAGGGGTCAGGATGATGTGGGTGGGGCCCAAGCCAAGATCTTCACCCTTTGCCCCAGAGCTAATCTGACTCACAGGCCCCAGACTCTCATCTCCCTTTGAAAGCCTTAGCCTTACCCTTTAATCTTATTCAGATACGCCCTAAAAGAATCTGGCTCCCTTTTGTCTATAGGCCCCAGAAAGGCCTTCTCTGGTCTCAAACTGTTCCTTATCAACTCTCCTTATCGCCTTTTGAAAGTCCTAGCCCCACCTTGGTTTTATGCAGATGCCTTTCAAACTTCTGCCTTCCTGTTCCCTCCATTAGCTATTTCCATTGTCTATTCAATCTCTCAGACCTCCCCAATTAGAATTGTTACCTAGACCCTTTTCCCAACCCCCTTCTCTGACTACCCAAAGTTACTATAGTACTGAAGATCCACCTTGGCCCTCATTCAGATGCTGAGAATCTCTCATGCCCCAAAGGCTGAGCCTTTCTCATGCCTGTCCTTACGGGAGTCACCTGGTCACTGTGATTTATCACTAATAAACTTTTCCTCTGGCTGAAGATTTGAGTTGAATTCATTCAGCAGGGTCCGGTACCATGATTTTGGGTTTGCAGCACCCCAAAACTCCTAGACCTCTTCAAGGGGAGGAGATACCATCGAGACTGGGATCTGGGTATGATGAGGTCTAGAGATTTAGGGATGCTGGGACCCTGAGATCACAACATGCGGGTCCTGTACAAAAGAATTCGACCCAAACCTTCTTTCAGCCAAAGACAAGGTTTATTAAAGATCCACCATATTAGCCAGACTCTTAAGGAATCTGAACATCTGTGAGCTATTGGCTAAATTGTAAAAACCTGAGCAGTGGCTAGATTATAAGAATCAGAGCACCTTAATGGAAGCAAGATGGACCTTATATACAGAAAGACTGTGGGAGGGATCTAGGAGTGGCCAAGTAGTTTGGGGTGACTGGAAGGAGGGGTCGAAGTAAGATCTGGTTTAGAGTGGCCAATAAGCTGGAGTGAACAGAACTCCTGAGTCCTGGACCTCGTAGCCAAGGGAGAATGAAGTCTAGATAGGAATGAGGGTGGGAAGTGCCCAGGGTCACTTGGGACTTAACAGAACTGGGAGATTTGGCATAGTCACAATGAAAGGCCAGTTGAGTAGATTATATCCTCAGGCAAACACCAGAGATTTGGGAATAGTCCAGGGATTTTCTTTTTTGAGGTCCAGATCCCAAAGACATGGTCTTTTCCTTTTAGGGGTTAAGGTCCCATCCTCATCATTTGGACATGACCAATATGGAAATATGCTTGATTATTTATAGTTGTTGCAGAGGTGTTTTTTTTCCTTTTTTCCCAGTGGAGGTAAAGAATGAGCTTGTTATTTGAAGAAAAAAAATTAAAAAATAAACTTGAAAGTGCTATATAAATACTTGCTGCTATTCTTATTCCTAATACCATAAGATTTGCCAGAGCTTAGGCTTTTCTGGTATATCCTTTAAGAAGTCAAGGTTACTTTGATGCCTTGATGAGGCCACCATCAAAGTAGGATTGTTGCTTTTTTTTCAGTTGTGTCCCACTCTTTTGTTGACCCCATTTTGTTTTGTTTTGTTTTTGACAAAGGTACTGAGTAGTTTGCCATTTCATTCTTCAGCTCATTTTGTAGATGAGGAAACTGGGGCAAACAGGGTTAAGTAACTTGCCCAGGATCACACAACTAGTAAGTGTCTGAGACCAGATTTGAAGTCAGGAAGATGAGTCTTTCTGACTCCAGGCCTGGCACTCTATCCACTGTACCACCTAGCTGCCCTAGAACTTCAGTGAAGGTCAAGTGAAGGTATGGAATGGAAAAAAAAAATCCCCCACATTCATTAAACAAATGCAAACTTTTATTTACATTGTAGGATTAGGAAAGAAACAAATTTCTCTGTGTCTTTCATGAACAAAGCTAGGGAAGAACTTCCAGAAGTTTATCAGCAGTGGTTGGAGAAAAATAGACAAGAGGGATTACCTAAGAGCATGCTGACATCAATAACTCAATTTGCCAATCCCAAAGAAACAAGGAAGGGAAAAACATCGTGCTTTGGCCTCAAAAAAACCACTGTGGTTAATGAAGAGCAATAGCTTGCAGGAATTAATCTTTCCAAATGAACCTCGTTGTGAGGACAAAACTGGGTTAGTTTGACTTTCACAATTTGAGTTAATTCTTAACCAGGCTTTACAGTTGTCAGGGTTAGATCATGTCTGACCTTTTTTCATTCTCTTCTTTTAGAAACAGTTTCACCCAAAAAGCATCAGAGAAAGGGAAAAGGCATCCTTGCGCCCCCAAGAAATAAACCATTCTACCTGGATCTGGAGTCCTCTCCTATCAGAAGCCTTTGTCAGCCTGAAGATGGAAGCTGTCAACAAAATACCATTACTTTACACCAGTGAATGATACCACACATAAGAGCTCTCTCTTCTCAAGTTCATTTTTCTGACTTTATTCACCGACACTCAAAAGTTATTGATTGACCTATATCTCTAAACCTAGTTTCACTGACAGACCAAAAAAAGGGAAAAGAGATGAGCTTGGAAAGAAGCAAGACTGACAGGAATTCTATAATTATCTTATTGGTATGAAAAATAACCTGCACTGGTTTCCTTTCATCATTTGATCATTTAGCAATATCTTCAATGTTGGTTTCATGTTGCCCACAGATATTCAGGCCAAGCTTGTCTTAAACATGAATATATTAATATTAATGCTTCAGAATTTGAAAAATCGGGCTACACTGCAATCAAGTTCCCCTTCCAGCCTTTTCTTTCTCATTGTCCTCTTTTTCTCCTACTTCTTCCTCTCATTAAGGTTGCCATTAAGCTGGAATTGATCAGAAAAACCTGAAAGTTGAGGCCTCCATCTGGTGTTCAAGAGGCCCACCTGGGTATAGGTGACTTTTTAAAAAAAATAGTTTGTAATATTCACGTATTTTTAGTTCCACTGCTGCCAATAGGCTATTCTTGGGTAGGGGTGAGGCCCATGGCCCATCAGATAGTGTTCCCATGCCAAAACAATGACATAAAATTACATAAAATCAAGCTAAAATAAAGTCACAGCTTTTAAAAAGTACTAACTTTTGAGTATTTGTGTGTATACGTAATTTAGGTTTGGGGATTTGGGTTTTGTTTTTTAAGAACCAGCTGGTAATGTCACTTTTCTGCTACCTTACTTCAAAGATTCTAAATTCTGGTTACCAATAATAAAGACAAACTCTTTACTTCTAACTTCCCTTTTCTCATCAATCTCATTACTTTCTTTTACTTCTCTATTATCTCTCTCATTCTTCTTCTCTCCTTTGCTCTCTTCTTCTCTTCATTCTCTGTCTCTGTCTCTCCTCTACTTCCTTGTTACTTTCTTCAACTCAACCATTTCCAGAATGGAAAGCCAGAATCCCCTTGTTTTAACTGTCCTGCCCTGACCATCCCAACTTGTTCCCGTTCCAAACTACCTCAGTCTTTCATTTCTACTCTCCTACCTTCAACAGAGTAAAAACAAGACTTCCAGTAGAAATGGCAGAAGAATAGTAAAAGGGAGATTTAGTATCCCTGGTTGGGCATTTCATTTGCACTAATCAGATAACAAACGGAGCTGTTCCAATAAAGGTCTGCTTAGCCTTAAATTGGGTGGGCTAGACTGGTAAAACGTCCCGAGCAGACCTTCAGATTAAACCAGGTCAAACAATCATTGACCTTCCTGAAATTTCCAGGCTTTGTACTTTATACATTTATTCAATGTCAACAGCCCTTTCAAGCCAAAGAGATACTTAGGCGATCATAGGCAATTCTTAAATTTGAATAATATCAAATTCAAGAATGCTGCTTTCAAGATACCTTATTCTTCAAAATTCATTGGCCTTGTCTATTGTTTTTCATAATGGTAACCAAGCTTTCAGCAACAGAAAAAACCAGCAGAAGTCTGTCCTCAAAATGAGGGCAGCTGTAAAGATGCATTACACGGGAATTTCTTCGAAGACAAGATTCTAGGTGTTGGGCAAAAGTTGTTTATCAACTCAAGATTCACTCACGATCACCAAGCATCCAATTCTCTGCCAAAATTTCTCCCCATCTTAATTCACTGAGAGTCTCCTTCCCATTAAGTTCACCCTCCTGGATTCTGCCTTTCTCATGGCTCTCCTTCAGACTACTGAGCCACAGACTCAGTATTTAGCAAACCAATTTTTCTATAACTGAGAATCTTGTCTGAGAGAAACCTCAACTCATCTTTTTGGCCTTATATTTCATTGCACGTGCTTCCCTTTGACCAGGATTCCATTGATAGCAGGACACTTCAAAGATGAAAAGCACCAGAAAGCAGGGAAGGGACAGATTCATTAACACTTCTCATCCACCTCAACAAGAAAAGAGTGTTTTTTCTCTCTAGTCCCAAGTAGTTTCTGGGTCAAAGTCCATGATGTGTTCTTCCCAGGCAGCAAGGTCAACACTGCCTCCATGATTTCTTTTAGCGAACCAAGGAAAGGAGGGTAGCTGATGCTGTAAAGGGTGATGAGTAAGCCGTGGCAAGTCCTTGCAAACCAATGACAAAGTATCGGCATCCTTTGGTGATCACTTTCCCAACATTCTGTTTTTAGAGAAAGAGGAAAAATTATCAGTCAGTATTTAAAACAGTGATTCAATGGATAGAGTGCCAGCTCTGGAGTTAGGAGGATCTGAGTTCAAATCTAGTCTCAGACACTTACTAGCTGTGTGACTCTGGGCAAATCACTTGACCATTGCCCTCAGTTTCCTCATTTGTAAAATGAGCTGGAAAAAGAAATGGCAAGCCACTCCATTATCTTTGCAAAAAACAAACAAACCCCAAATGCAGTCACAAAGACTCAGTTAACAGGGATGAACTAGTTAATGTTGCCTGGCTGCCAGACACTAGGTTAGTCACTTGACCTCTGAGTTTCATTTTCTACATCTATAAAATGGGTGTAACGATACTTTCAATCATTCCGAAGCCCTCTTATAACCATAAAGTGCTGATATAAATATTAGCTTCTCTCTTGCTTAATCTCTCTCTCTCATATATTCAGAATGATCTGTGATCTCATCAATTCCCAAGTTCCCCTCAACAATGCAGATCACAACCTACACCTGCCCATGACTTTCCTCCATGTCTTCCCAAAGTTCCCCACTGATGACAGTCCAATGTGCCAGAGGGGTTCCTCACTTTCCCACAACACTGAGAGGAAAATAGGGGAGCACTCTGACCACCTACCTACCTATCTCATCATCCTTCGCTCTCACTGTGTTGCCAGCCCATCTCTTTCTGTCCTGTAATTCTCTGGTGACATTCTTTACTCCTGGTTTTTCTTCATAGTTCCACCCTGGTTACAAATGTTGTAGCCTGTTCACATTCACCATGCAATTTTTCCATTGCCTTTTGTCTCAGTTGCTATGTTTAATAAATAGTAAGCATTTATTAAGAGTTTACTATGTATTCCAGTCTCAATGGAGATAAAATGTTTGAACTGAAAAAATTAGCCTTTGTTATTATGGAAGCTTGGGGTCAGTAAAAGTACTTTGCATTTTCCAAAAGTAATCCTATCCAGCCCACTTTTTTCTTCTTCATAAAATCTAGGCATAGCTCATTATATATTTATATAGTGTGTCCCAGACAGGGGCGTGCTGAAGCCAGCTGAAACCTGCAGCTTGCCAGTTAATTGTTAAACTTTCATTGTGAGCATTTATTTACACATTAGAAATCAGCAAATACTACAAATCAGGGCTTGCAGTATTGTTTTGTTGATTGACTAGACATAGGAAAGTGACAGTAATGCAGATTAAAACTTAAAAGTATGTCTGTATGTATACTCCCTCCCTGCCACATTAAGCTGTTACTAGCACACCCCACCCAGTATTACTCTATAAACATTGCTAGAGCTCAGCAAGAGGACAGGAGAAGGCTCAGGGAAGGAAATCAACACCAGAATGCAGGCCTGATCACAGTAGGCTAATGATGAAGATTGATAACAATAACAATTGGTATTTCTATAGAACTTTAAAGTCTGTAAAGTGTTTTGTATCCATATCTCAATGCAGTCTCATGACCCCCAGTCCCAGACATACATTCTGTTAGACCTAGTGTTCAATCAGTCCTACTCTTTGTGACCCCACTTGGGGTGTTCTTGGCAAATATAGTGGAGTGGTTTTGCCATTTCCTTCTCCAGCTCATTTTACACATGATGAAACTGGGGTAAACAGGGTCAAGTGATTTGTTCAGGGTTACCCAGCTAGGAAGTGTCTGAGGCTGGCAGTGCTCTACCCACTACACCACCCAGCTGCCCCAGACCTTCACGTAGAGGTGCTTCATAAAATACTTGTTGAGCTGACCTGACTTGGACAAGGTTGACAAAAAGTGCTTGACAAGGCTGAGTAAATGGAATCAATTTAAGGGTATTCAAGGATGAAAATGGAAAGAGTTTAGTAACTTGTTATTATTAAAATTGGACCAAGAGCCAGAACTAGGGAAGGAAAGGTAGGCCTACGGTGTGACAAGTATGAGTGCGTGTAATGTAGAACCCTATTTAAACATTACTTTTTATAAACATACATATTTGTAATGCCAGGAAATTTCAGGGTTCATAGAGGATAAATATTTTCCATATGTAAACTCTACATTATCAACTTTCTATATTCTATTTAAAGTAAAAGTGACTTAAGAATTCAGGGTTTGGGGTTGCTTTCTTCCCTTTCTCTACCCCTCCCCCAAAGTGATCCCACTGATATCAAGTCACATCCTAACTCATTTTTTAAAACAGTAATCCACATCAAGTAAGCACTTAATTTGTGTGGGGTGCTGTGCTGGAAGCACAGAACACAGACCTAGTCCATCCTCCCTGGGAATTCCTCCCCAGTCCTTGGGGCAGATAATGGGACAGTGATAACATAAACATAACACCTAGACAGGAAGACTGAACAAAGCAGGTTCAGGATAATCATCTTTGTTGGGATCCCCTAATTCCCTCTGCACTTCAAAGAAGCTAGGAAATGTTAGGATGCTGAGAGGTTGGGGAAAGTGGTCTCACACTTCTGATCCATGGTGGGAACCCTCCCTCTCTGTCTGTCTGTCTCTCTCTCTCTCTCAAATTTTAGCTATGCAGCTCAGAACCCAAAGCACTTCCATTTTACAGATGAGAAAACTGAGTCCAGGAGGCACTACCATAGTTAGCACACAGGCACACTATCCTAGAGGTTCCTGACTAAGCCTTTTACTGGCAAGGAATTTAGACTTTTCTGTACCCTTCCCCCTCCCATCCACACCATTTTCATAAGGTGTGTCTGTCTGTCTGTCTGTCTGTGCACGTGCACTCCTGCTTGAAGACGCTCAAATGAATGTACAACTTGATTGGTCTAAAAGTCATTTTCAGCCGATGACAGAGTTAACCATGAATCTGAGACTACAATCCAGGTCTTCTCAATAAAAATCTAATGTTCATCTCACTACCCAGGAATGATATCTGGTGAAAAACCGAAATCTAAAGATCAAAGCATTTAGAATAAAAATACCTAGGTTAGAACCTTAACTCTGTTACTTACTTGCTACCTACGTGACCTTGGGAAAATCACTTCTCTTGGGAGTTTACTCCTCTGTAAAATTAGGGGCTAAAAATAGTTCATCTCAAAGCTCTCTCAAGTCCTTCCAGGTCTAAATCCTATGATCCACCTCCCCTTCCTTTCCTTCTCCCCACCAATTGTTAAGAAAATCTTTTCATGGGGAATCTATGAAAGGGAATATGCTGTATTTCTTTATAAGAACCAACAAATATGACATTCCAAGGGACTTTTAAGCATACATCTAGATAACTAACAAAACTTCTCTAAAACTGTCTACCTCAATGGTTATGCACACATTCTCTGATTTTCTGCTCTTGCCTTCAACTATTCCAATAAACCATAAGATTGAGAACTGGAAGAGACCTCAAAGAAACATGCTGCAAATGTAGAAAGGAGGCTTTTTTTATGGAGGGGAAATGATTTTCCCAAGGTCACATCAAACTCAGGTCCACTGATCCCAAATCCAACATGCTTTCCATTACCCCATAATGCCTTTTGAGTACCTTGCAGAGGCATGGCCAGGTCTGCATTCACTACTTCCATGAAGCTTTCCCCTACTACCTTGGCTCTCACTGATGCCTTTCTCCCCCTTCCTGACCCAAATGGGGTCCCAAAGAGTCAGACATGACTGAAATGACTGAACAACAACAAGCAGGGGTGGGGTAAAGGAGGAGGATGGTATGGAGGGATACATTTTTGGAATGCTCTTGCAAAGCTAACAGGAGACATCTTACATGTGAAGCAACAAAACAATTTTTTAAATTCATTTATGATTGTTTTCTTTTCTTTTTGGTAAGGTAATCGGGATTAAGTGACTTGCCCAGGGTCACTCAGGTAGTAAGTGTCAGGTGTCTGAGGCCGGATTTGAAATCAGGTTCTGATGCCAGGGCTGATGCTCTCTATCCACTGTACCATGTAGCTGCCTCAATAATTTTCTTAAAATATAAAGAAAAGCAGAGAGAAATCCTTTTTAATGTTGAGCTACTAAAATCAAAGATGGCTTTATTTATTTCCTTAAATTTTGTTTTGTGACATGTCATCTATATTCTTGGCTTATTATCTCTTAAGAAGGATTTATCATTTCATCTTTGCCACTACCAAAAATATCACTAAAATAACTTATTTGTTGGAGTGTTATCAAAATATAGCTTTGAGATACATGGAATAAAGACATGTAAAATATCTATCTGACAAGGTTTATCTCAATGCCATCCAGAGAGGACAGCTTTTCAGTTTTTGGATCAAAGTGAGAGAAATTCATTCTCATCATTACTGATTTCCTGGGAATAGAGTTTGTGTACAACTTGGGAGCAGAGTGGGTGGGGAATAGGCAAAGCTGTCAGCTAATTCTTTTTGGGGAGCGAAGAGGTGAAATACGATATTTTTATTCACAATGACCCAGGAGAGAGAAATTAATCAAACAGATACGAAGAAATTGTTCTCAAATTAGAATGCAGTTTTCCAGTACAAATGGTCAAAAACTTGACTTAGGGGGCCAGAATGGGCTTTACGTATATGAGGAAAATGAGATATTCTATGGAAGCCTCGTGGAATATTGGGGCAGAAAGGGATGGGGGTCCTTGCCCCCAATGAATCCAGCAGGATTTGGAGGCCCCCCTCCCCCACAATTTGAAAATTGGCTCTGATATTATGGGAAAAGAAGAGGCAAGAAAAAGCTGATCTCCACAAAAATGGCTTTAAACAGCCTTGGGAAGAAAAAAAATTGCCAGGTATTATTTTTCTTCTGAAAGTATGTTATAATGTATAACCCATATCAAATTGTTTACTGTCTTGGGAAAGAAGGAGGTGAGAGGGTGAGAGGGAAAAAGAAAATTTGGAACTCAGGATTTTAAAAAAATTAATGTTAAAAAATTGTCTTTACATGTAACTGCGATAAAATATCTTTTTTTTTTCAAAGAAAGTACATTATGTAAGGATTTCTTTCAGTTATGGTATGGATGCTATAAGTTCTAAGTCAGTATGTGGTTCAGCAGCCATGAGGCAGAAGACCATGAGAAA